GAGTGCTCCAAATAGATTTAGAGTTAGCAAAGCGTTGTTTGAGGGCAAGTCAAGGCAGTTTTTGCTTCGCTCTACTCAGTTATGGTGCATTAGAAGTCAAATATCTTTAATAATTCATATTTAATGATAAATTGTTAACACTGGAAGATTCCCCCATCTCTTCTGAACAAAACGGTGTAAGAATGACCGCTCTAGCCCCTACTGGTTAGGAAATTATGGTCATTTGTTTGAGGGGATCCTCACTATGAGAAATAGGCTGCAATAATCCTGTGCTCTCTGTGCTGCGTGTGAGGTCACCTGTTTTGGCGGGAAAAAGTACACAGCCCTCTGATTGTGGATTCATAGAGTCCAGTCTGTTGCTGCTAGAATTTTCTTCCGTGTGTGTGTGCTGTGTGTCTGTGTGTCTGTGTGGTGTGTGTGGGGTGTGTGTGTGGTGGTGTGTGTGTGTGTGTGTGGTGTGGGTGGTGTGTGTGTGTGTGTGATGAGTGGATGTGTGGGGTGTGTCGAGAAAGCCTTTTATGGGATGATCTGCATTCGTAAATTCTAAATTCAATATATTTAGACTGGTTGACTGTAATTGTGATTTGGTGTGTGGTGTCTCTCTGTGATGTGTGTTTCCTGATGTGTAATATTTCGTGATTGTGTGGGCTGTTATATATATTTTTTGCTGATTTTTTCCTTTAACAAGTAATTTTGAGGGACCGGGGAGCGATGTTCAGGCATTTTTTCACCGCTGTCCATTTGCTTTTCAATTTTCTGTTAAGTTATACTATTGTGCTAAATCTACTATTTCTGCGTATTTTATAAGATTTGGTGTTAGGTATAGAGTTCATGCATGGTGGATTTCTGATAAATATAGTTTTTCGATACTTAGTGATTACCATCAGTACGGTAATTCTGCTTGTTTAATAGGATTTGTGCTTAATCATGTATTTCTGCTAATTATAGTATTTTCTGCTTTTTAAGTATTTGTCTAAACATAGTATTTCTACCAAATCATGAGTACATGATTTCTGCTTTTTATAGGTATTTGTGCTAAAACATAGTATTTCTACTAAATGTAGTATTTATTCTTATCATACATTCATATAGTGATGTGCGGATCGATCCTGAAATATCGATTCCTCCGATACCAGTCATTTATGTTCTAGAATCGATTCTCACATTAAAATATCGATATTTTAGTAATTTAGGGTAAATTTGTAGTTTATCATTAACAGGAACACAGTGGAAAGAAACTATAACATTCGGATTGTCTACATTCAAAGGAACTACTTCCTCTTCCGCCTTTCATAGTCATGTGCGAAATACGGCTGTATAAATGTCTCGCAGCCCCTTGGCGTGCGCACTCGACAACAATGGCCGAGTCTAATTGTGGAACATATTTTACCTCCACAAACAGCAAGACGCGGTTTGTGATGATATGTGGCAAGACAGTGAGGTGTTGTGGCAACACCACTACCTCAAACTAGAATTAATCATAACACAGAATATGATGAGGTCATGTCGAGGCGAACCGAAGAGGATGAGAGGAGAGGGACAGGTGCTGCTAGGGCGAGACAGACGTCTCTCGTGGAGTCCTTTAGTGCTGCAGGCAGGCACTATCCAGGTACAGAGGAGGAAAATGCTGGGTACATAGGCTAGGTCGCATTAAAATATACAGAGTACTTGCATTAAAACAGGCATTGTAGTCTTTAAAACATAAAAATTCAGTTGAAGATTATTTCATAGATAAGAGAAACGTTTTATAGATACTATTATTATCTATTAGCTTTATTATTATTTTCACTCAGTTTAATTTTTTGGCTGAGTTATTTGATTATTTTAAAATGCAGGTATTGACAAACTTATTTATTCCTTTAATTATGTATTATACTGACAATTTCATTCACACAGCATTCTATGTAAAACAGCAAGTATATGTAAACTATCAATTCCTTTCCCCTTAGGCTATTTTAACAGACTGCATACATGACTCTAAAAAGAACTCTGGAACTCTGTCTTTTACATGTTGGAGCGGCTCTGTGAGCAAAATGAAGCCGTGACCACAGCCCTCTGCCTTTTAGGGAAGAATCAACTATGCTTAAATGCGGGAGAATTATCCCTGATCAAGGAAACAGTTGTTGCACTACGGCCGTTTGAAGAAGTAACACAGGAAGTTTCATCTGAAAAACATGTTTCAGCCTCCAAAGTTATTCCACTTGTGTCACTCATTCACAGGGCTGTAGCAGCCTGTGAACATCAGGACAGCTCCCTTGCCACACAGCTGGCACAGCAATGCCAGCGCAGATTCAGGGGTATTGAGAGCATTCACTGTCTAGCTGCAAGTACATTTCTGGATGTTAGGTTTAAACACCTTGGTTTTCGTGACAAAGACAATGTTGAAGTATTAAAGAAACGTCTCCACACTGAAATGCAAGAAGTCTATCAGACAGGACAGTCTGCTCCCACTCTAACTGTAAGCTCAACGCCTACTGTTAGCTCTGCCTCAGGGCCTTCTACTTCAGGGTCTATCCCGAGTCCTCCACCCGCAGGTCCAGCTGCAACAAAAGGAGGGATATGGACAGATTTTGACATGCAGGTTGTGTCAAGCCAACATCACCGGTCAGCTTCCAGTGATGTACTCATTGAAATACGCCGGTACTCAGAGGAAAAACTGATTCCCCGAGATAAGGATCCATTGGTTTGGTGGCAAGAGCATGAACAAACCTTCCCATCCCTAAGCAGACTTACAGTGAGATACCTAGGAATCGTTGCTTCTTCTGTACCTGCAGAGAGAATCTTTTCAAAAGCAGGAGAAGTTGTGAGCAAAAAAACAGAGCAGACTTGAGAGGGAAAACTGTAAATATGCGGTTGTTCCTAAACAAAGACCTGTGAATAAGGGAAAGTGTTACTGTCAAATGTTTTTGTTGACATGTCCAGACAAGATAAACGTTAAATGACATGTTAAATTGTGTTGAATTTTTTGTTGACATGTCCAGACAAGATAAACGTTAAATGACATGTTAAATTATGTTGAATATTTTTGTTGACATGTCCAGACAAGATAAACGTTAAATGACATGTTAAATTATGTTGAATATTTTTGTTGACATGTCCAGACAAGATAAACGTTAAATGACATGTTAAATTATGTTGAATATTTTTGTTGACATGTCCAGACAAGATAAACGTTAAATGACATGTTAAATCGTGATGTGTGCGTGTGTGTGTGGTGTGTGTGTGTGTGTGTGTGTGTGTGTGTGTGTGTGAGAGAGAGAGAGAGAGAGCATAGCTTCTTTAATGGGATGATCTCATTCTAAGATTCAAATTCAATATATTTAGACTGGTTGACTGAATTGGATCTTGTGTGTGTCTCTCTCTGTGCATGTGTGTTTCCTTATGTGTACATATTTGTGATTGTGTGGCTGTTATATTTTTTTGCTGATTTTTTTTCATTTAACAAGTATATTTGAGGGACCCTCAGCATGTTCAGCATTTTTTCAGCTGTCCATTTTGCTTTTCCAATTTTTCTGTTTAAGTCTAATTACTATTTCTGCTATTTTATAAGATTTGTGCTAAATATAGTATTTCTGCCAAATATAGTATTTCTGATTAATTATAGTTTTTCTACCAAATCATAGTACAGTATTTTTGCCTTTTTAAGGATTTTTATAGGATATTTATATTTGCTTAATATAGTATTTCTGCTTTTTATAGATTTGTGCTTAATATAGTATTTCTGCTTTTTATAGGATTTGTGCTTAATATAGTATTTCTGCTAAATTATAGTATTTCTGCTTTTTATAGTATTTGTGCTAAAACATAGTATTTCTACTAAATGTAGTATTTATGCTTAATCATAGCTATTTCTATATATTTCTGCCAGGTCCCCAGGCAGCCAATCCTCTGTGAGGACTGAGACATTCAAATTTACATAATCAGGGCCTGCACGGCTTCAGCCAGCCAATCATATCTTAGGGATGAGAATTCAAATACAAATCAGGGCCTGACGGCTTCCCAGCCAGCCAATCATGTATGTGGCCTGAGGCTTCAAATTTGCATATTGGGAATTCGTGGCTTCTAAGCAACAAGTCATCCAGTCATATATCTGCTAAAAATTCATATTTTAATGATAAATTGTCAACACTTGAAGATTCCCCCATCTCTTCTGAACAAAACGTGTAAGAATGACCGTTCTAGCCCCTACAGTTAGGAAATTATGGTCATTTGTTTGAGGGGAATCCTCACTATGAGAAATAGACTATAAAAATCCTGTCTGTGCTGCTGGTGCACCTGTGTTTGGCGGGAAAAAGTACACAGCCTCTCTGATTGGTGGATTCAAATTTAGCTGCTCCCAGCTGCTTGACTGACCTAGAAACTTGCTTCTCTCGCCGTGTGTGTGTGTGTGTGTGTGTGTGTGCGGTGTGGTGTGTGTGTGTTGGGTTAGACACAAACCGAGAGAGAGAGAGAGAGAGAGAGAGAGAGAACCTTACTTTCTGCAAACTTTTATGATTTTACCAGCTTTTCTAATATGGACCTCACATTCTTGTTAACACTCCATGGCACAAATACTTTCCCTTTAGGCTCTGTGTATGTGTGTGTGTGTATCAATATTTCTCCCATTTTAAAGTATTACTCCTCCATAATTGTATTTCTGTTAAATCAAAGTACTTTTACTACATCTTAGTACTTCTGCTCAATCATAGTATTTCTGCTAAATCATAGTATTTTTGCCAAATCATGGATTTTTGTGCCAAATCATAACATTTGTGTTATGTTATAGTATTACTACTAAGTGGAGGAATTTCTGTCATGTTACAGTATATGTGCTGATTACAGTATTTCTGCTAAATCATACTATTTCTACTATATTATATTTTTCTTTCTAAATATAGCATTTCTGCTATATAATTGTATTTCTGCTATGTTATAATATTTGTGCTAAACCAGAGTATTTGTGCTGAAACATAGTATTTCTGCCAAATGATAGTATTTCTGTCAAATTATAGTATTTGTGCTAAAACATAGTATTAATTTAAAATTACAATATTCATATTCATCACAGTGTCTCTGGTAAATCACAGTATTTCTGCTATGTTGTACTATTTTTCTAAATCATAGTGTTTCTGTAATGTTTAAGTATTTTTGGCTAAATATATTCTTTCTGTTATCTTATACTATTTCTCCTAAATTCTTGTATTTTTGAGAAGTTATCATGTTTCTGGTAAGTTACAATATTTCTGCTAAGTTCTGCTATGCTATTGTATTTCTGCCAAGTATTATGTTTCCTCTAAGATATTGCAGTTCTGCTAAGTTATTCACATTTTAGCAAAGTTCCTTTGCTTCTGCAAAGTTTTTACAATTTCTGCAACTTTTCAGCTTTTTCAGCTAGTTTTTGCATACAGCTTCAGCTTTAAAGCATCTACGCTGCATTTTCGCAGGAAATGCAAATTTTTCTAGTAATAATTGTCTTTTTTTTTTTTTTTAATGAAATAAATATGGGAGAAAACAAATTTAAATTTGCACTTTGTGATGTCAGCAGTTGTAAAGATTAACTTCTGTTTGTTCAACTATCTTTCCATTTAACCAGAAACTTGCAAATCAGTAAAACTACTGCTTTCATTAAAATTGTTCTCCAGAATTGCTCAGTGGCGGTTCCATATAGGGAAATATATCATAGCACTTGTTCTTGTAATGTATAATTATTACATTGTGTTACACATTATATTATATACCATAATATATTTTATATATTTTTATTTGAGCAGGCTGGTTCTTTAAATAGATTCCTCTGCCAATGTGACTAACCAGAATCACTACTTCATGACTACTTGAGATGGTGCTTATCAAATGAATAAGGAATTTAACTCATGTTTCAGAAGAAGGAACTCACAGGGGATAAAGGCAGGGGAAAGCAAATCACGAAGCTAATTAAATGAATTGCCTCATTATTAAGACTGAGAAATAATGATATTGCACAGAAACACGTGGAAAAAAATGTAAATGTCTGAATAAAAGCATGTTTAGGTTTAGGTGTATGTTTTATTTCGTCAGGGGCAGATATGATGTATCACAGATTATCTTGCAGTATTAGACTGCGTTTCACTTAATTATCGTATCATGATTGCTGCTGTGCGAAATGTATTTTGATGGCAGTGCACTGCAAGTTATTTTTCCCTGTGTGGCGTCCTGTGTATGTTCACGTCTTTGTTTTTGTTTTTACCGACAGCCCAAATCTGCAGAGCAGATTCTCGAGGCTTTGGATTCTGGCAATCGAAACAGGACACAGCACCCGACTGATATGAACGCCACCTCTTCTCGTTCCCATGCTGTATTTCAGGTAAGCTAAATGACCAGAAATCATCAATAAATTAAGATATAAATACTAATGTTAAATATAAATAGAAAAGTTACGTTTTTTTAAAGACTCCTTATCGCTCCAATCATGTAACAGTGTATCAGACTTTAGTTTTTGATAACCTTGAATGAACTTTGTTCTATTGTTTTCCTCCAGATATATTTGAGACAGCAGGACAAAACTGCCAGCCTCAATCATAATGTATGTGTTGCCAAAATGAGCCTGATTGACTTGGCAGGCTCAGAGAGAGCCAGTGCCACCAACGCTAAAGGGGCACGCTTACGAGAAGGCGCTAACATCAACCGTTCACTCCTCGCCCTGGGAAATGTCATCAATGCTCTTGCTGACCCAAAGGTGAGTGAAAGTGAATGACTACTTTACAATCACAACTGTTTCTGAGAGCCATTTAAAACCTTTTAAAAACATTTAAAAAACTTAGTAACATTAAGAAAAAACAATGAGTTGATAATATTGTTTCCTAACTGGCAAATAAAAGGTTTGGATGGTTACTATAAGGCAGCACCTGATGTTTTAAAACTGTAATATTGCAGTAAACAGAACCCTTAACTATAAGTATGCTCAACTCATTGTACACGTCTCGGCTTAAGCGGCTGCCATATTGCAGAGTACAAGGGTTGAATATGTTTGTTATAAAAGGAGACATTTTTGACCTCAATTCTCAAACCCAAAAATCTATACAGGCCATAAAACAGCCTTTTAATGCCAATTATATTAGATATTAGATTTAGGATTGTTTAATTTTTATTTTTTTTAAAGAAAATAATTTCCAAATTTTAAGATAAAGTATACATTTCTTATCTTACCTTACTAGCCTTTTAGGTTATATATAGGCTCTATATATATGTTTATTAACATTACTAATAGGGCTGGGCGATATATCGAGTTTTTTAAAAATATCGATATATTTTCATACGAGATATAAGATGTGACAATATCGTTTATATCGATATAGTCTATGTTACGTTATAATTATACTTGTGGAGCCGCAGTTTGCCTCTCTTTCGTCCACTTTTGTCTCTACGCAACGTTACTCGGCCTCGCCTCTAGTGATGGGATTTTTTTTTAGAGAACCGGCTCTTTCGGCTCCGAACCGGCTCTTCAGGTTGTTTTGTTGCTTTAATTAAGTTTATTATTAACAAAATATAAAATTATGCACAAAAGGAATTACTAATGTAAAAAAAAGTGGTTTTATTTATATATGTTTATATATAAATATATGCGGTGGCCCCTAGAGACAAAGCACGTACAAACTCCAAAACACATTTCTAGCGTTAACTGAACTTCCAAAACAGAGCTACCTAGATCACTTAAATTACACAATTGAAAGCATATGTGTATTGTTTTTACGTTCTTCTGAGTTTTTACGTGTTTGAGTTTTTATGTGTTTTGTCTCTAGGGGCCACCGTAAATATACTTTTATTTATTCACTCCACATAAAATGTAATAAATATCATAAAACAAAAACCAACTATTCACATTTCAACTTTTAACTATTTAAATTTTCAGCTTTTTCCTTTTAAACAAATTTAAAGTGAAACAACACAAAACACTGCAAACCACAACACAATTAATATCATGAACTGAAAATATGTGAATCACTATACTTTTATGCTGGGCACACTGTGCGATTTTTTTCAGTCGCGCGATTCAGCTCCTGCTCAAACTGTACGATTGACTCGCAGGGGTTAGAAGTTCATAGGTCACGATGCAGGGTCTCACACTATACGGCCCGATGCTCTGATGCGACCTGAGTGCTCACACTGTGCGTCCATAAAATGAAGGTTATAACAGAAATTCTGTCGCTCGCTCTCCCTCTCTGTCTTTCACTCACACAGACACACCACCACCATCAACTTTGCTAAATTGCTAATGAAAAACATTGATCAGGCAGCTGTGATTGAGCAGCAATGTAAATCCAACTATTTTCACGGTTGTTGTGGTCGTGATAATTTTGTGAGGCCACATTGAAAGGGCTCGGATGAGGTTGCCATAGTTCTACAACTTGTGCCTCCATCGCTTGTGTCCAGATCACACGCTGCACTGCCGTGCTGCGCCGTCTTTTTCACTGACATTTGTGTTTGCGCGTGCGCAGTGTGAGAAACTGCGGTGACACGCTCACGACAGTTGCAAGGATTTCAAACAGGTTTGAAATCCTCACAACCAAGCGATTGATGATCGGGAGCTGGTCGTGAGGTGTTAATCGCTTCTCGTTACCCCACGTATACTACACGACGCACGATGAAGGCTAAAATCGGGCCGATCGCCAAAACGGTCGCACGACTCAAAAATCGGCTCAAAATGGGCCAAAAATCGCACAGTGTAAGCCCAGCATAATGTGACGTTGTTGACCCTGGCTCTCTTTCTCTCTCTTTCCCTCCCGCTCTGTTCCTGTTAGTGTTGGATAAGTTACTTTAAAAAAGTAATTAATTACTTAAGTATGTTAAATACAATATTGATTATCAATTACTGTGTCTGAAAAGTAACTTAATTACTCAATAAGTAATTTAACTAAATACTTCTTAAAATCCCTATAAACCTTGAGTGGACAAACAATAGAAATTAAACTCTTTAAATAATAAATAATTTTTTAAAAAAAACATACGAGTCAACATGAAATAGAATGCCTTTTAGCTTTCTGAATCATCTTTATTACATTCTATTAAAAAAAAACATTCTTTAATAATTACATTTTTTGGTAAGAAATGTAACTTTCTTTAGCAACATATCTGAATAACAAAAAAGCTTAACCTAACAAATGTTAAACATGACATGTATCACGCTGTAAACATTAAAATGTTTTAATTTTCAAAGCAATGAGTAACATATTCATACATAATGTATGTAATCATGTCATGTGTTTCAACAAAGTGAAGTTAACTCTGACCTTTGGTTAACAAACAGAATTCCTCTGAAACTTCCTCAAACCAATGAGCACCATATTTCCTGCATGCTGTATGCACTCATGTTTTCCAAAAACCTTTTTGTACTACTTAGTTGTCTCGTTTTTGAAAAAGTTGTTGTATCTCATTAATGTAAGTCTCTCAAAGCGTTCACTTGACAGTCTGTTCCTTCTGGGTGTAAGCACAAGATTGCTGAGGCTAAAAAGCCTTTCGACTGGTGCGCTTGATGTTGTGGCTGTGTTGTACCTCAGTGAAATGTCCTTAATCCTGGGAAACTGGCTAAGAACACCCAGCTCAGACCCAGCAGATTTCAAATATTCCATCACCTCTGTTTCAGCAGAGTAGATACAGTCGCCCTCCTCAAATGAAAAAAAGTCATCAGTGGGAGTCAGCAGGGTTCTTGTGATCTTGAGCAGGTTGTTGTTCTTCAAGAGACAACCCACGGCACTCTGTAGTAAGCATTGCCCTAACCATGTCTTTTTTCTCTTCTTCTCTGATCCAGCGTAACTTAAATTTAGGCAAAGTGACTGCAGCCAGGAGAGCTTCTTTATTGTCCATCATTGAGGAAAAGCGCACCTTGATCACCTATGAGACAAAAATCCACATCAGACACTTCACATAAGAGCATGATAAATAAAACAAAAATTTATTTTAGGGTAAGGCTATATATAGATTACCTTAACAATGATATCAGGGAGGGATGTAATAAAATATATATATATATATATATATATAATAATAATAAGATTTAATATTATATACTAGATGATAGATGATATATATATATAATATATATATATATAATAAGATTATATAGTAGTTATATTATAGTATTATGATGATATATATATTATGTAGTGTATAGATGATATATATATATAGATATGATATATTAGGGG